TTTAATCTGGTTCAACAACAAGTGTATCCCTGTAGATAGTTACTGGTTGTTGAATCATCAAAACGCTTTAATCTGGTCCAACAACAAATGTACCCCTTTAAGTAGTTACTGGTAGTTCAATCATCAAAACGTTTTAATCTTATCCAACACAGTGTACCCCTGTAAGTAGTTACTGGTAGTTGAATCATCAAAACCTTTTAATGTGACCCAACACAGTGTATCCCTTGTAAGTAGTTACTGGTAGTTCAATCATCAAAACGGTTTAATCTGGTCCAACAACAAGTGTACCCCAGTAAGTAGTTACTGGTTGTTGAATCATCAAAACGTTTCGATCTGGTGTAAGAACAAGTGTACCCTTTTAAGTAGTTACTGGTAGTTGAATCATCAATGCGTTTCGATCTGGTGTAAGAACAAGTGTACCCTTTTAAGTAGTTACTGGTAGTTGAATCATCAATGCGTTTTAATCTTGTGCAACAATTGTATCCCTGTAAGTAGTTAGTGGTATCTGAATCATCAAAACGTATTAATCTGGTCCAACAACAAGTGTACCCATTTATGTAATTACTGGTAGTTGAATCATCAAAACGTTTTAATCTGGTCGAACAACAAGTGTACCCCTGTTGTTACTGGTTGTTGAATAATCAAAACATTTTAATCTGGTGCGATAACAAGTGTACCACTGTAGTTACTGGTTGTTGAATCGTCAGAATGTTTTAATCTGGTCCAACATCAAGTGTACCTTTTTAAGTAGTTACTGGTAGTTGAATCACCAAATTGTTTTAATGTGGTGCAACAACATACAGGAAGAGCCAAGCTAGGTTCGGTACTTTTTATACTTTGGTCCAACTTCTTAATTTTCATAAGCCGAGGGAAATAAAACTGTTTATATGCTGATATCTGACAGTTAATAGACCCGAATACTGTATTTCCAAGTAAGAAAAAATATCTATAGTTTCAAAGTAATTTCAATGTTTAAGTTTATTGATCTACATGAAACTTGTTTTACATCCAGTAATTTTCAATAATCACCAGACTTATCAAACAAAATAAAACAGAATGTTCTGAGTTCTGATATTTTACAATAAACATCATATAAAAGTCCTTATGATATACAATAAAAGTTTTGTTTTAGTTTTTATCTTTAGTTTTCAAAATTTCGCACTTTGAAAGAAATAGTAGTAGAAGTACATATTTCATGTCTACATTACGTACATAATAACTGAGTTAACGAATAAGTTTACTAAAAGTCTGCTAATGTCTTTGGAAGGCTATGGTAGTAGAAATACATATTTCATGTCTACATTACGTACATAATAACTGAGTTAACGAATAAATTTACTAAAAGTCTGCTAATGTCTTTGTAAAGCTATGGTAGAAGAAATACATATTTCATGTCTACATTACGTACATAATAACTGAGTTAACGAATAAATTGTCTAAAAGTCTGCTAATGTCTTTGTGAAGCTATGGTAGTAGAAATATATATTTCATGTCTACATTACGTACATAATAACTGAGTTAACGAATAAATTTACTAAAAGTCTGCTAATGTCTTTGTAAAGCTATGGTAGAAGAAATACATATTTCATGTCTACATTACGTACATAATAACTGAGTTAACGAATAAATTTACTAAAAGTCTGCTAATGTCTTTGTAAAGCTATGGTAGTACAAATACATATTTCATGTGTACTTTTCGTAATAATATTTGAGTCAAAGGTTACATTAACTCAACATCTGTTAACTTCTTTGCACAAATACATATTTAATGTCTACTTTATTATAATATTATATGTTATTCAGGACTGCATTATATTTATTAGCCACGTTCTAATAATCTTGAATAATATTTACTTAATGCATTTAAACACGCATACTTAACTCCTATTATATATTATACATTATACCAAATATTTAAATTAGAACAGAGAATTCTTAATTCAATTATTTACTTTTTTGTGACAATTCGCAACGTTCTACTACATATTCTGAATTAACATACAGGTCTATATTACTTTTAAATTCTTCAATATATAAGAAATTTTGTAACCCCTTCGTTTATTTTTAATTTATCATTTTAATTTGTCTAACAAAATCTTTTTAACTTTATTTAAGATATATTGGCCATCTTTATTATTGTAGCTAAGTGTAACATGAAGTTTAAGAGAAACAACCTGTGTTTACCATAAATGGCATCTTAAAAATGTGTATAAAGATAGTGGTAAAAGTAATATTTATTGTTGAAGGGCTAAATAAAGGAACAAACGTTACTCTAAGATCAGCCAAGCACATTACACTAACTAACAATGCTGTGGGTCCTCTTAATATCGAATTAAATATTTCGCCATGATAAAAACTTCACAACATCCCATAAGGTGTCTTGTTCGATTGTAGTGTAGAGCATCCAATGATAAGCATGGTCTGCATTTGGTTCACATATGTCAACAAATACTTGTCGAGGAGATGTTCAACTCCCTCCCAGAGATTCTCAATCTGAAGAAAAGGTTATGACTGTACTGATCAAGGAAAGGTTATGATCGTATTGGTCAAAGAAAGGTTATGATTGTACTGATCGAGGAAAGGTTATAATTGTACTGATCAAGGAAAGGTTATGATCGTATTGGTCAAAGAAAGATTATGATTGTATTGGTCAAGAAATGGTTATGATTGTACTGATCAAGAAAAGGTTATGATTGTATTCGTCAAGGAAAGGTTATGATTGTACCGATCAAGGAATGGTTATGATTGTATTGGTCAAGGAAAGGTTAAGATTGTACTGATCAAGGAAAAGTTATGATTGTATTAGTCAAGAAATGGTTATGATTGTACTGATCAAGGAAAAGTTATGATTGTATTAGTCAAGAAATGGTTATGATTGTACTGATCAAGGAAAGGTTATGATTGTATTGGTGAAGGAATGGTTATAATTGTACTGATCAAGGAAAAGTTATGATTGTATTAGTCAAGGAATGGTTATGATTGTACTGATCAAGGAAAGGTTATGATTGTATTGGTCAAAGAAAGGTTATGATTGTACTGATCGAGGAAAGGTTATAATTGTACTGATCAAGGAAAGGTTATGATCGTATTGGTCAAAGAAAGATTATGATTGTATTGGTGAAGGAATGGTTATAATTGTACTGATCAAGGAAAGGTTATGATTGTATTGGTCAAGGAAAGGTTATGACTGTACTGATCAAGGAAAGGTTATGATTGTATTGGTCAAGGAATGGTTATGATTGTATTGGTCAAGGAAAGGTTATCAATTGTATTGATCAAGGAAAGTGGTTTAAGTCATATCATGCTTTTTGAACCAATTTTAGAAAATCTAATTCTATCGATTGTTACATTTTAATCACAAAAAAGCCTTTATCAACCAGAATATACAGCATTGTGGGATAGACATGATCGCCAACAACGTCCATTTATACTCTGGATATTATTTGCCGTTCTAAAGGGATCAAATGACCTCAAACTTTCCACGTGAATGTTCCCACGCTATTACACATAAGAGTTTGAATTGTCAGGACAACAGATGTGGTACCATGTGTCCCATAAGGTATTCTCAATATTTTAACTCTACCGTTATTGCAGAAGACTGAAACACAACTTATTAAACCACATAACACGCTTTTTTTGCTATGCATTGTTCAAGCTGTATTTACTAAACATCACGAAAGTCTTGCTTTCTTTGTTTGAATTTGAGATAGCGTTTTCATGCTGGTTCTCGGTGGCCATATGTTAATTTTTATATTGTTCTTCACATGATACGATTGTAGATATGTAAAGTGGAATACAGTCTGTCACAGCTCACATGTTTGTGCAATCATCTTTTCCCACGGCCAATCACCAGTGGTTGGAGGGTTTTTCCTCTAGTGATAGACGCACCCGTTTCGGTTGTCAGTGTTGGTAGACTCTGGTAAAAGATATTTTTGAACATCTGGTCAAAAAAATAGTACTGATTTGTTAAAGACGCCCCTAGCGAGCACCTACATTTGAAAAGTAAGGAATATCTTTATTTTTATCCATTCTATTGATAGATTAACCATGATATCGCTATTTTTATAGGGTTCAAGTGGCCATCTTACTTACCACATGATTATTTTGCTAATCTGCAAATTAATTTAATACTCCGCCAATGTACATAGGAGAGTTTAATTTAGTGGCTATTGAATGTAATACATATAATGTAATATTTAATGTAATACACATTTTAATTTCACTATACCAGAATCTCACTGTAAATACTTTTGGGCACATGACTAACTGAAATAAAAATATATTCATCACGTAACAGAACCATGTCTTCAAGATCCCAAGTATCACTGTTAAGCTCTTGTCATCTCGGTAACAAACAAACGTCATAAATATACGTTTCTGTACTTGTTTCATAATAAAACAGTAATCTTAACGTAATGCCATATTGACCAACGGTTCCAAATCGCTTTGTTCACAGAAACATCCAGTGAAGACAGAGAGACGAAAAAAAATTAAATATTCGATTTTAGTGAAATTTATAATTTTTGTACATGTGTTAGGCACAGGTGAAAGCTGTTGTTTCCTTCTTAGTTTATTGTGAAAGATATGAGCCTCGTAACTTTCACTTCAAACCTGCTTCAAAATGTTTTTCTGGAAAACAACACCTTAGGCCTACATACTCCTCATGGTTCGTAACCTTTTTACAAGTAAAGGTTGCGAACTACCGATATAAACAGCTAATAGGGAAATATCTTGTTTGTTTCTTGCAGTCTAAATAGTGATAAACAATAATGGGCAAAACTTGTATATATATCGAGATAGATCATCAAATGTCTTTAAAAAAACATTTTCACGATTTTCTTATAAAAAAATTTCAAATTGTTGAGAATACAGAAAGAGTACCTTTTTTCTTCACGTACTGATTTTCGATATACTTCTCGTGTGATATTTACATCTTGTCCCTTCTGAAAAGCGTTCGGGATTAAACAACAAAATCTTCTTCATCCGGGTTGTGCATCTCGTTTACTAATAGGGCCGAGTCACAAACCAATTTTTTGCATCTTATAGCATAATAGTGAATACTTGTGTATATACAAAATAAATCATTAAAATAAAAGAAAATGTCATGTGATAAAATATGAACTATACAGTCATAATACTACATCAATACGTACACGCACAGAACGTTGAAAACTATGCCTCCATCGTTCTGTGTCACAAAATATAACCTCCAGTCCAGTTCCAAAACATGCACGTTAAATCTAGGCTTACTCCAAACGCGCTATATGGCTAAAATATTTGAATTAATCTAATTCAAACACATGCGTTTACTCATTCACTTGCAGTAACATAAGCAAGAGTTTTCTACATAATTAAATATGGACGTTATGTTCTTCAAACTTTCAGAGTTTCACCACAAGGTGGAGCTTATTTGTCGTATTTTAGTTGTTATGGATGATGGACTTCAAATATATATAATATCACAAAGTAATTTATCAACTAAGGTTGTTTCTTTACAATATGCGACATCGGTTGTTGAACCGATATATCGGCGCTTGGCAGAAAGTTGTAAGTATTGTAAATGTTAAAGTATAACTTCTAAGATTTCGATTTCAACATGAATATCTTAATACGGCCTCCATAACGTTTCATCTGTATGAGCGTTTGTTGTTAAACTAAAGAATCCACTAGATGTCACTGACGAGTTTGAGTGAGACGGAACTTGGTTGTTGTTTTCTTCGTTGTTAGTTTCAGTATGGGTTTCTCTGCCAATAGAGTTACTGCCACGAGAGGTCGTCACATTATTCCGTCGAACAATCATTTCATTTCTTTGGCGTTGCGCGGCCACAACAGATCTTAGCTCGTTTCCAAGGAGATGAAGTGGATAAAAGAAGGACGATGGCACAAAAGAGCTACTTGGGTACATGTTCGTATTATTTACGTTGAAGTTGTTACCAGCAGAAGGGAACAGTCCATAACCACCGTGATTTACAGCAAAAAAGGGAGCGACTGTACTCCCAGATAGAAATGCCATTGTTGTGCCGGGACTCTGTTGTGGGTTTATCATCCCCCCTCCAAATATTCCGAAACCTTGACGGAACTCTGCCAGCCGATCAGAAATGCACAAGTCATTGGCTTCTCCTGCTATTGAACCTCTCGAGGTTAAGAAGGAATCTGCTTTTAAAGCCAAGGAATTCTGTTGCTCGTAAGGAATTCCCAGTGTTGATGTTACTCCCATGCGATCACAAAGTCCTGCAGAAAAATTACATTCAGTCAATTCAAGTCTAAACTGAATTATTTTAATCTACACAGAAGTATATTGTGTACACACAACTAAGCAGTCATATTAAAGCAATTAAGATTGCGCCTTTTGAACGGAAACAACTACATAAACCTATAGCTCTAAATGGAAAATAATGCTAACTCAAGTTCCTTTCATAAAAATAAACTATCTAAGGAGATACAGTTTTTGAATTGTTTTGTAAATCTGTTTAAAATGTTTGTTAGAAACATCATCAAAAAATGCACAGAACCTATGACAGTCCTAGAAATTATCATAGGTTCTGTGAATTTTTCAGTGATTTTCCTAACAAACATCATGAGGTCTTGAATCTTTTTAGATTATTATTTTTTTAATGTACAAAATGATGTGGCACTCTTTGTTTGGTATTATACTCGTAGTTTTTGTCGTACTTGCGACTTACTTATTAGATACTTATGTTGGTTGTATAACTTTACAAAAAGTCTACTGAAAGAGTATTATGTAGTACAGCGCTATTCCGTAATAAATTAAGTAAAACAGTTTATTACAGCAATGAGAGATGAAAGAAATATTTTACTATAATGCATGGTATGACCTTCTAAAGCTGTAACCATATTACAAGTAAAGAAACATCTTACTACAATAGTATTAATACTGCAATAGTTTTACTTTATAAAAACACCTAATTTAAACAGTGTTGCAAGTAAAGAAACATCTTACTACAATAGTATTAATACTGCAATAGTTTTACTTTCTAAAAACACCTAATTTAAACAGTGTTACAAGTAAAGAAACATTTTACTACAATAGTATTAATACTGCAATAGTTTTACTTTCTAAAAACACCTAATTTAAACAGTGTTACAAGTAAAGAAACATTTTACTACAATAGTATTAATACTGCAATAGTTTTACTTTCTAAAAACACCTAATTTAAACAGTGTTACAAGTAAAGAAA